ATATGTCGTCGATCGTCACCATCTGAACAAGTAAAAGTAGATGTTAGTAGATTATTTAATTGAACAATTATTAACCATAACTTCTAGGGATAATGAACCCATCAGGACGATAAATCTTAAAAGCGGGGTTTGGCGAGCTATTTTTCGCATTTTTGTTTTGGTTCGTTTGTTAATTCATATTGTACTAATTTCGTCTTTGTGGACTTTGGCACGTTACACAAAATCTTGTTTTAGGCGTTCTCAATACAGTCATGAAAAGAAAATCATCATAAATAATTTGTTGGAGAGCCATCCCATGTTCAAACCAAGAATGCTTAAACTTCGCTCCCCAATAACTGTGATACTAAGTATTTTGATAACAGGGAAAATAATAATTTTACTGTATATACATTACGCAATTTGGTTGCGATTCGAAAAAACAAGAACTATATCACGTGATGATTGGCAGTGATACAACACTAAATTCAGTGCATGCCGAAATGTTGTTTGAAGAGACACTTAGCGCAATGTTATTTTGAAATCAATGTTCACAATGCGTCATTAGTACAATTTAAACAGTCGAACCGTGAAAAAATTCGAATACTACCTCGTCAAACTCTGCTTACGTCGCTTTAATAATTGTTGCTTATTATAATTATTCATAACACATTCATCGATGCTCTGGTCAGTAAGTTTATTTTTTGCAAGGAAACATGACATTGATATAGTTAGCAATGTTCGATGGGAATATATGTTGCAGTAACAATGCCATGCTAGCCAACAACAAATTTGTTAACATTAAACAACTTGCTTTTGCCTCAGCAATTATTGAGAAAAATAGAAGATGTTTACGTATGATTATTGTAAGTAACATAGACTTTTCTAGATTGAGTTTTTATATCTACTTCACAACATTTTCTTTGCAAAATTTCCAACAATGGTAGTGAAAGTAAAAACAAATATATAATATAACACCACAAAATGTAAATAAACCAACGTAAATACTAATTAGATTGATGTTAAATGCTGCCAAAACTAGGTGAATAGCGAAAGTCGAAATTTCGAGATTGAAAGTCAAAATTTCGAGATTGAAAGTCAAAATTTCGAGATTGAAAGTCAAAATTTTGAGATTTAATATTTTTTGTCATGGCCTTAATGGGCTTTCGTAACTAAGAAAAAAACACAGCAAGAAAAATTTAAATCAGACTTGTAATTTCTAGTGACTTAACTCGAACGCAACATTGATCAATGTAAAAGTGCATAAATTCGAACCAGCCATCAAATTCAAAATTCAAACGATCTCGTTGAATGTCAATCAAAATAAACTCCATATTTAGAAAGACAAAAAAACTAACAACATATAAATATTACAAACAAGAGTGCAATAAAGGTTAGCAGCAAAGGACGAGAATGTGCATGTGGGAAATCGACCTACAAGAGCTCTAATTCGTGAACTCGAAGAAAATTATGCTGAAGTGAGAACACGCTATATACTTCGCGGAATACTCACTAAAAGATCGAGAAAAGGGGCATCCTTACAAATAATTGTCTGCAATTTTGTGAACATGACGACGTGCAAACAACGAACAAAACTCGTGGTCCTTCAAGGAAACTTAGCGATTGCGAAGTTAGATATATACAGCTGTTGAAAATATGAGCAGATTCACGTGGAAGATTTTCAACTATTACCAACAACACTACGATAATGACTTTCCTTTTTCGACATTGAGAAATTCTTTTGTTTTTATGAAGAAAAATACAGTATTTTTACCAATTAAAGTCATATTTATTAAAGTTATTGTTCATACACGAGTTGTCGAACACACTAGATAGTTTGTAATTCCATTAAGTTTTTTTTCAGTCATAATTCAAAACAAATAAATTGCACAAAAATAGAGAATATAGCACATTTTCTTTTTTCTGTAATATTCTAGTGTAATTAGTTATTATGAAAATTATTGATGGGTGCATGGGGGACACATTTCGTTATGAATTATTCTTAACATAAATTTCTGAATTATCTTTTCAAAATCAGTTTTTTCAGGGTTTATTTTCTCCCAACAAACGAAAGAATTTCACAATGTCGAAAAGGGAAAATGTTTGTCGTAGTGTTCAACATTGTAAAATGTCGACTTCCTGAAAAATACACATGGAAACGGATGACAAGATCAGCGTTAGAATGATTTTCGGAAGTAAATTTTATCTCCACTCAAGGTATCTTGAAGGACTAAAGGAAATTGACACACACCGAATCATATTTATGGATTAATCGGGATTCAGGTACCATAGTGTTTGTAACAGAGTATAGGGACATGCGCATATTGGTTCTAGAGTTGAAATTTAAAGATACGCAGAAAGCTGAACTTGCTCGTTTAGCTAATTAACATAGGATTGTATATGCAAACATCGTCAAGGATTCCCCCGACACGGATTCTTTTTTTAACAATTTTCCATGATGCGGCAAACTCTGCAAATGACCGGAAACGTCGTTTTCGTTGATAACTCGCCATACTAGTGGTGATGAACTGTTTAGCTGATCATTTGGATATTCAATTCATATTTAACCCAACTTATTGGAATATTCTTTCGGAAATTTGAGATATTGTTCAACAAATCCTGTACAGGGATATGTCTGATGACAACTAATAATAAGCAATTCTCCAGCCAGTACGGTCTTGCTGTGTTAATAAAAACACGATGTATACTTTCCCTTCCGGTGTTTCATTTTTTTTGTGAACGTATTTAATATACGGAAATAGCACTCATGTGTGCGCTTGCGTGAGTCAAAGAAGCTGGTGAGGCTGTGTCACAACATGTTCAATTTATTTCAAACGCGTTTGGTCGGCGCCTTTGATTGCGTTTATTTTTTTATTCTCGAAATATACCAATGGCAGCGTTTGTTGTTTCATGCCTCACAACTGAAAGTCCCAGCTGACTTTGATTTGGCTGTAATATACATGTAGGACACTTGTTTTGCTGATTACAGATTTCCGATTATCTGCAATTCGCGAAACGAATCGTTTACTAATTAACACCTGTTATTTTGGGCAAATATTTTATGACGTTAGTTATATACAAGACTGAAAGGTGAATATACTGGCCACGTTTTAACAGACGATTGTGAATATTGTACGTGTAAGACCCTTGTTTCGCTTAATTCAGATTTCCGATTATCTGTAATTAGCGAAACGAACCGTTTACTAATTAAAATATCGTTAAGTTGGGCAAATATTTTATGAAGTTATATACACGACTGAAAGGTGAATATACTGGTCAAGTTTTGTCCGACAATTGTGAATACTGTACGTGTAGGACACTTATTTCGCTTATTACAGATTTCCGATAATCTGTAATTAGCGAAACGAATTGTTTACTAATTAAAATGTCGTTATTTTTGGCAAATGTTTTGTTAATATTGTGCGTATCAAACCCATTTTCTCTGATTACAGTTTATTTTTTTATGTTTGTCACCCCGTTTCGTTTCGTTTCTTTGATTACAATAAACCGCTCTCATAACCTCGTGATGCGAAACACACACATTGACCCGATAATAAGGCCACTTTTACAATGGTGATGTAGCTCACAGATTCTTGATGCGTCCCGTAAACGTTGATTCGATATTACGATCATATTTTCAATGGCAAGGCATCCAACACCCTCTTGTTGTAGGACGTAGGCATTGACCCGACATCAAGGTTACATCTTTTACGGCAATGTAGCTCACGCTTCTTGATGTCAAACATACTCTTCGACCATAAATTACGTTCACATTATTTTGACGCTTACCCGATATTACGATACAGTTCTGGCAATGTAGTTTACATCTGCTTGATACGAGGCCTACACATTATTCCCCCAGCGTCGATGTAGCTCACGTGCGCTTGACATGAGTTGCACACAGTGACCCGGGATTATGACCTTATATTTCTTGCAATGTAGCTCACATCATCTTAATGATAGATGTACATAGTAAACCGATATTATGATCTCATCTTTCATACAGTGTAGCTCACAGCTTCTTGACGAGAGATGTACACAGTGAACAGATATTATGATTTCTATCCTTCATTACTATGTCGCTCACACCTTCTAGTTGAAAGAAGAACACAGTGATCCAATATTATAATGTTATCCTTCATGGCAATGTACTAGATCACCGCTTATGGAGGATAAATGTCCACAGTGAACCGATACTATGAGTTCATCCTCCATGGCCAATGTAACTCACAGATTCTTAATGAATGTTGTACACAATTATCCGATATTATAATCATATCCTCTATGGCAATGTAGCTCCCTGCTTTTTGATGAGAGATGTACACAGTGACCCGATATCATGGTCTTATCTATCGTGGCAATGTAATTAACAGCTTCTTGGTGAGAGATACATAGAATAAACATAAATAAGAATTACAACCTCTATTGCAATGTAGCTCACATCTACAAGACGAACACAATGACCCGATATTACAATCACAGGTTGCATGTTTTATGCGCTGCTCCTCTCGATTTGGGACACAGACATTGAACCGATATTGCGATCGCATCCTAAATGGCATAACCAAGTTATCGAGTTGTACACACTCACCCGCTATAAGCACATTCTCAATGGCAATGTAGCTCATAACCTCTTGATGCGAGATGTAAAATTTACTACGATTTTATGATCAACAGCAACGGTAACTAGCACATTCTTTATGTAAGACATATATATTGTCCCGATGTTATGACCATTTCCTCAATGGTGATGCAACTCACAGCACCTTTATGTGAGACAAACACATTGACCCTATATTATGATCACTTCCTCAATGGCGATGTAGAGCATATCTATTTGATGTGAGACACACACATTGACCCGATACGACAATATCATTCTTAAGAATGATGTTACTCACATTCTTCTATATAAGACATGCACATTGATTCAATACCTGGTATCATATAACGATTATATCTTCGGTTGATGCAGTTAAACCCTGATACTCAAGAGTGTTTCAATGGGCAATTTATTTTTTCAGGCAATTGTTGTTTACGGGTCAACGTACCAGTTGGTGGCGCTTAGTATTGACCGATACGATGCAATCGTACATCCTATGAACTTCTCTGGCAGTGGTAAGTTGCATGAGATATCTGTGTAATAGTAATTTTTAACTATTGACATGCAGATATTGAAATTAGTAGTTTATAATATTACTAATGTAATGATTGAAATATGTTTGACTCAAACTATTAGTAAATAATGAATATAGCTAGGGAATGAATCGGGCTTTAATAAACAAATTAGAAACTAATGTCAACAAGGGTCAAAATGTATTGGCACTACACCTCTAGTAAGTTGTTTTTTCCCTTATTAATGGATCAGGATTGAAACAATTTTACCTAGAAACTAATAACAGCCAAATGGTTTTGATCTAAATAAAGTGTAACTAATGATAATTAATTACAGTCAAGAATTAAAATGTCCTGAACCTAAACTACTAGATATTGATTTAACTCAAAGTAATTATTAACAACCAAAATTGAATTTAACTATTGGCAGCTGGCAGCCTAGCGTAACGGTTTTAAAATTATCTTTGCTCGAAGCATTAGTAACTAGTGAAAACAATAATCAATACAAAAACATTAGTGAATAATGACAGCCAATTATTCAAATGGTTTACCTAGTAAATAATGGAAGCTAATAATTAGAATAGATTGAACTTAAAAACATTAGTAACTAGTAACAGCAAAATATTGAAATGTCCATGATTTTACCAACTAGCAACCAATATCAGCCAAGGAGTGACATGGCCTTAATATAAACCAAATATGAATAATATCAATAATGGCGTGGGATGTTGGTGGTTGTTTTGAACGCGGCACAATGTCAGGTAAATAATATTATACAACATGTGTGAGTGTAAATTATTACACATCATGTCTTACTATTTCATCCAAAATCTATTTCAGACAAACGATCGATGATAATGGTGATTTCTATGTGGGTAGTGGCATTTATATTAGCTGTACCGAGTCCAGTGTTTTTTGAGGAAACTGTCCTTGAAAATGGTGAAGTTCAGTGCTGGATAGAGCTTCCGCAAACGTGGGTTTGGAAACCATACTCCGTAATACTGGCCTTTCTTTTATTTTTTATTCCTCTTGTAATCGTCACGTTCTGTTATTCCGTCATTATATATACAATTTGGCGAAAAAGTAAAATGATGGTTCCTGCAAAGCGAAGAATCTTCAACGAAAAAAATGGTGAGTTTTAACCACGCTAAGAGACGTAACAGAAAACCCATACACAGGAACACAATAAATTCGAAGTAATTGGGATATAGCAATTGCTAATATAATAGTGCATTGTATTATAAAACATGCAGACGTACACTTGTAGAAGCTGAATATTAGAGCATAATATTAATTTACAGCTTACGCCTTCCAATACACCATATTTTGTCATACCAATTTAGAATAAACATATTTACTGTCAGTGATATTACATGTACACCTGAATTAATTGCCTAGTTTTTTCTATCTAATTATATTTACTTTTCATTGTCATAGTATTATCCACACAATATTCTTTCTTTATATTCTCCAAGGTAACTATAAGAGAAGTTCCAAAATCAAGTCGAATTCTATAAGTGCCAAAAGAAGCGCCAGTTCGAGGGGATTAATACCAAAAGCCAAGATCAAAACAATAAAGATGACGCTGTGCATTGTTCTATGTAAGTTCAAATTCAAAATGTAAAATGTTTAGATAATTGTGCTGTTAGCTGTTAATGTGTCTAATTACACAATGAGTAATTAAAAACAGCCACATAATCTAGA